TGTGTGTGTGTGTGTGTGTATATATATACACACACGCACAATTTTTTACAAATGTAAACCGTTTTATTTATCAACAGATAGGTACCTGTTTTCATTATACTGTATAAAACTTGGTGTACACTATAAAAAATAACCAGTATCCAAATTCAAGAGAGCACTCAGAGAATACACTACGGGTGTGCACCTATAGTTCACCCACCTCAGGCTTGATTTAAATCGAAAACAAGTAAATGGGATCTTACTTAGAAAAATTTTTTTATTAGTTTGTGTTTTCCATGCGTAATGATCATATTCATCATAGGGAATTTGTACCTGTATGTGACATATCTTTTCTTTGGTACCAGGGATTGAACTCGGGTCCTGTGCTTGCACAGCAGGTGGCGAAACCACTAAGCTAAATCCCCGGCCCTTACATGACATATCTTAATTTTCTTTTTTTCTATTCCTTTTCCCTCCTTTTACCCCTTCTTCCCGTCCCCTTTTACAAAAGCTTTGTTTCTATTTTTTCCTTCAAGACTCTCTCTTTAATACCCTTTCTTTTCCTTCCCCCATTCCCCTTCCCATTTGAACATGTTCTTCCTCCTTCCCAAGTCTATCCTGCATTTTGCTCCTTATTTACCCTTTGAGTTTCTCCCACAGGAGAAACAATGTGATATTTAAGCATATGTGTCTGATTTATTCCACATAAAATTATCGTCTGAAGGTACATCTAACAAATAGCATGTTATATATTGACTGCTTGCTCTCTCTGTCTCTCTCTCTCTCTCTCCTTCCTCTGTCCTCCCTCCTCGTCTCCCTCCCCACCCCCATACTGAGGATTGAACCCAGGGCCTTTGCCCTGAGCTACATCTCCAGCACCTTTGGATTTTTTGCTTTGAAATGAGGCCTTGCTGTGTCACGCTTGCCCGGGCTAGTCTCCAGCGTGCAGTCTTCTTGCCTCGCCCTCCTGGGCTGGCCTAACGGGTGTGTGTGTACCACCGCACAGGCTGCTTTTACCACAGAATTCTCATGCTTTCCTGCTGTTTCACAGAGTGACATGATCTGTAAAGCCGCATGCTGTTCCATTGTGTAACTACAGTATGATTGGCCAGTTGGTTGATGGATTGTTTAATTATACTCATTTGGTTTCTTTTCATAGAGTATATTTTTATAAGTGGAGATTTGGGGTCAAATGGTTGTACAGTTTCAGTCTGAATCCAGATTGCCTCTCCTGCCTTTCAGAAAGGTGCTCCCATCCGTGTGTGTCTGTGTCTGTGTCTGTGTGTAAATTGGCTTTGTTTGCCTTGACCTGTTTTCTTCTGTTGAGATATTTATTTTTTCTTTTTTATTGTTTTATTACAGTTTTCTATAAAGAATAATATTAAGTCCTCTTTTTTATGTATGATACAAGTAGATTTTTTTTCCTGATTTATTTTTGGTTTTAAAATTGTGTTTCTAGTATATTGAGAATTGGAACTTTTATGTAATTAAATGTACCTTTTTATGTTTTACATATTTTGCTTTGGTGTCTTGATTACAAAGATTTCCTTCACCTCAGGGTAACAGTAGTGATTTAGCCATATTTCTTAGTATTTTTTAGAGTTTTGTATTTTATTGTAAAATCTTTAATGTGGCCATAATTTATTTTGAGTTGAGGGATGAGGCCCATTTTATTTCTTCAGAACCACTGATGTGTTCTTTTTCACTAGCGTCCTTGTCATCCTAGTTGAGGGATTTGCTAAATTTCTCTTAGTAGTGTGTTAGGATAGTGGTGTGGTACCTAAATGCTTTCGTCTTTTAACAGTGTTGCTGATTTTACTTTTTTTTTTTTTAAAGGAACTTTGCACTTTAATGTTTTCCCTGGATTGGATTAAAGCCAAAACAGAACTTGTAGGCCCTGCTCATCTGATTCATGAATTTGTGGAATATAGCCATATATTGGACGAAAAGGTATATATTAGTATGAAAAGTTAATGCTTAGAAGATGCCTAGTTTTGACCTCTAATTGTAGTTTAATGGTGAGCATGAGCAGAATAGAAGGGTTGAATAGAAATAATTTCCTTGTATTTACTTTTGATTATTTTAATTAATTTGTTTCCTATCCTACTGGGAATGTAGGTACAATTAAAATTTGAAAGTTGGGAAGGTAAGATTTTTGGTGGTTTAAAAAAAGCGTTAAGAAATGTGTTTGATCATGAGATTTTTACCCTGTGTTTAAAAGTCAGAAGAAGGTCACTATATATTTGTTATCTAACAGTTGGCTGTTAAATTTTAGTTCATATAGAGAATATCTCATTTAAGTTGTTAAAGTCACAAGATCACAGAAACAAAAATGTCAGATCATGGCTCTGGTTATGTTTCTAAGAGCTTTCCATTTATTCATAGGATTGCGCAGTCTGTGAGAATTTTCAGGAGTTTTTATCTTTAAATGGACACCTTCTTGGACGACAGCCATTTCCTAATATTGTACAACTGGGGCTCTGTGAACCGGAAACTTCAGAAGTTTATCAGCAAGCAAAGCTGCAGGCCAAGCAGGAGGTCGATAACGGGATGCTTTACCTGGAGTGGATGTAAGTAGGTTAGGAGAGAAACCAAAGGGAGTGGAGCGCTAACTATGTCATTATTTTTCAGGTGGTGAATAAGTTCACTCCAGGAAGGTTTAACTACTTTGGAAAGGGCTGGAACTTTTAATAAGCGTTCTTACTTAGTGAAAAGTTCCACAGAAGTAAGCATGGGAGAAAATGATCGTATCGTCCAAGTGCATAGCAATAGGCACCTTATTAGAGGGCATTTTGACAAGCCCTCCTAAGCATTCATCCCAAATGCTCGACTTCCTGTAACCTAGTACTGCACAGTGGTGTGGCTTCCTCTGTGGCTTTGGAGCCACAGACCTGGATGGGAGTCTCTGTGCAAGAACCTAGTAGTTTTATGACTTTGAACAAGTTCCTGATTGGTCTGTCTTATAGAATGGAGATACTAGAGATTGTCCTGTTTTGTTTCGTTTGTTTGTTTGTTGGGGCACAGGGTCTTGCTGTGTATTCCAGGTCGGGGTGGGACTGAATGATGTAGCTGTTTAAGCAAATAATTACCATATACTGTGATAAGTAGAACAACAGAAGTGTGTATAGAATAGAGATAGAACTGGTAAGTACTGAATTTAGATAAGTGAGGCATTTAGGGAGGTTCCACGAAGGAGGTGATCTCTGAGGTTTTTAACAGCTTGTTCAGTTCTAGTATAACTGTAACTTTTTGTTGGTTTTATTTTTGTTTTATACATTTCCTGATTTTAAAAAAATTAGATATAAAACGAAAAGTCAGAGACTTCCTATCTTTCCCCTACATTTCTATGTCCAAGGATTAACTATTCTTTATTTCCTTTGAAAGTGGAGGTTTCACTTCCACTAAGGGAAAGCGCAGGTTTTACTGTTGCTAAGTGAAGCAGCCCTCCTGACTTGCTGAAGTGAGGTTAGATCTGCTAGTGTTCAAGAATACATACTCCTTGTTTACTCTGTATCACTTGTCACCCTTTATTGTTATCTATTTGTTTTTCTCCCATAATAATCATATTCTTTGGTTAGAGAATAGTCCGGAGGTTAAAATAAGGCTGGTTCTAAACTGCCCGGGCTTGAATTCCAACTCTACCTGTGATTAGCTGTACATCATCAGAGGAAAGTTGTTCAGCTTCTCTCTCCAGGTACCCTGTTCCCCAGCACTGCTGTGAGAATTAAAAGACTTGGTATGTGTACATAGACATACACCTGGTGCTGAGGACAGTACCAAATTCATAGAAAGTGCTTAATAAATATTACTGTTATTAAAAATAGCATTAAGGATTTGGTTTGGCCCTTATATGCTTGGTGTTGAGTAGAAATTTGTGGAAGATAGCTAACCTGTTTTAGTTAGTGGCTAAAATGGAATCTTAGTATTAGTTTGGTCAGCTGAATGTGGTCTAGTTTTTGTTCCTTTATGAGTTGAGTTTGCTATTTTTACTCTTTCTTGCTGTTCATTTTCTCTCACTGCATCAGCTGCATTCAGCCTGTGATGTTTTCTCATAGCTATTCATAGCTGTAGTTTTCACCTGTGGATATTAGTAATTTAAAAATTTTGTATTTGGGGGAATATAAACATGTTAAAAGATAGTTTATTACTGCAAGAGAGTAGTTACTTTTATTCTCACTTACTGGATTTTTGTTCATTTTTCCTTTGTATTTAGAAACAAAAAAACCATCAAGAATCTCTCTCGCTTGGTTGTCCGCCCCCATACAGATGCTGTTTACCATGCGTGCTTTTCTGAGGATGGCCAAAGAATAGCTTCTTGTGGAGCTGATAAAACCTTACAGGTAAAATAGTTGTATTGAGAAAAATTCAGAGATTTTTACCCAGTCCTGTGTAGATTAGAATATGTTTAAACCCCAAGATTAAAGAAAATTCCATGTTGGAAATAGAAATCTGAATCTTTTGAACATTTTATAACTGCTTTCTCTAGAGATTTTAAAGATACATGTTTCATATTCTGAGCTCTCTGAGTGACAGAGAACCTTTCTCCTCGCCAATTACCTGCTATCCATTTGCCAGAGAAGGGTAATGAAGAAATAATTGTTAAAAGACAGAAGGACTCGTAGCACAGTTAATAGGCCTGTGATGGAAAAGCAGTGGTTAAATAAAATAGTTTATCAAAGTCTTAGACATGTATGTTGGACTGCAAATAAGAATTGGATGAGATTATTTCCAAAGGTGCTTTAAGTATTTTCTTGTAAGTTCTTTTGTTTTCAGAAAATGAGTGAGTGCTTTTTTTACAGTTGTTTCTTTGGTTTTTTTTTTCTTTGCAGTATTGAAGATTGAATCCAGGCCTTGTGTACACAAGGCCAGCACTCTACCACATTCCTAGTGCTTTTAATTTATTATTTTTTTTGAGACATGGTCTTTTAAATTGCTAAGTTGCCTAGACTGGGCTTGAACTTGGCATCATTCTTCCTTAATCTCCCATCTCAGCCTTTTTTTTTTTTTT